GAATCCAGGGAGCAGCTGGGTCAAGGGGTGGGTCTGAAGAGAAGCAGGCCCGCAGGAGTGTGACAGGAGCTGCTGCCTTTTTTCCACAGCTGAAGAAGTTGGATCAGGCCGTGTCTGCCGCTCACACCTTCTTCGTTGCTAATCCACAGCACCTCCAAATGCGGGAGGACATAGAAAAGTACCGGCGTATGTCAGGGGTGAAGTCAAATAACTTCCGGGACCTGGAGGCTACACCGCACTGGGTGAGGGTTCAGTGCAGAGCCGGGTGTCAACAGCCCTTAGCCCATCCTAGGCACCAGTCTGGGGCCCTGATCCATTCCCATGCAAGGGCCATGGTTTGAGACTGGGCCCCCATACATAGAATCACAGAATGGTTTGCGCTGGAAGGGGCCTTTAAAGATCATCTAGTCCAACCCCCTTGCTATGGACAGGGACATCTTTCACTAGATGAGGTTGCTCAAAGCTCTGTCCAGCCTGACCTTGACCACTTCCAGGGATGGAGCATCCACAACTTTCCTGGGCAGCCTGTTCCAGTGTTTCACCACCTTCATCATAAAAAAATTCTTCCTTATGTGCAATCTGAATCTACCCTCTTTCAGTTAAAAACTGTTGTTCCTCATCTTGTCACTACAGGCCTTGGTAAAAAGTCTTTCTCCATCTTTCTTACAAGCCTCCTTTATATATTGAAAGGCTGCAATAAGGTCTGCCTGAAGCTTTCTCTTCAGGGTGAAGACAAACCATTGCAAGTGTGCCACAGGAACTTTCTGATGATAGTTACAGCAGGCTGCAGGGCCTTGGAGAAGTATATTTGGCTTAAGTCCAGAAGATTTGCTGTCACTGTGTGGTGCGCTGTGCATGCCAGCCCCAGGCAGGCCCCTAGATGTCAGTACTACCCTGTGCGTGACTCAAAGTCTCTGGGCGTCCTTTGGTGTCACCCACACTGATGAGGGCCCCGGATCTGTCCTTCACAGGAAGCATATGAGGCTGGTGTGCAGCACTACAATGCAGATGAGTACCTGCAGGCTGTGGTCAGGCTGGAGGAGTCACTCACAGAGACGCTGTCAGCACTAGAAGAGTGTCGCGCCCTGTGTGAAGGGCCTTGGGAGGATGAGGACGAGGAGGAGGAGGAGATGCAACCTGGCCTGTATGAAGCCATTGCAGGTAGCGTTAGAGGCATGCAGGGTTGGGTAGGAAGGCCATGTGGACATGGACATGCCCCATTTTGAGGCACTCCTGTCTGGAAGAAGTGTGAACTACTGCCTTTCTTGCTCCCTTCTCTTGCAGCCCATTATATTCAGGTTTTGAAATGCAGACAGCAGTGTGTCCTTGAAATTGCCACAAAGCCGGGGCGGATTTCTGCCACGGAAGATTTCATACCCTCTCATCTTGATTTACTGCAGTTTGCCTACGATCAAGGTGAGCAAAGCCACATCCCAGCAGATTATGCTGTGGCACCCCTAAACTTGCCTTTGCCTCTGGATCTGAAGGGCAGCGTGTCATGGGGAGAGGTGGCACACTGACCTGAGCTCTACCTTTCTCTCCCTGCTTCTGCCACCTGACTTTTCCCAGAAGCAGTCTTCTCTTCCTCAAGCCTGCAGCCACCTTGGGCAAAGTCCCCTGTGGTCCACTTCAGTCTCCTTGTGCAGCTTCTGCAATGTATAGCTGTTCCCTCTTCTTTCCTCCAGCACTCTCCATTTCAAGTCCTTGCTCCAACCATCTGCTGTGTATTTTATACTCTACTTTTCAGTACGTGGCTCCAGACCAGGCCACCACTTCCTGTCAGAGCATGCATGTGCATCTCATCTCAACAGTGGTGTTCCTTCTGAGTCAGCCCTGCCTGCACTCGCTGAACTGATGGCCTGTCATGACATTGGTCATCCTGTCACCCTGTCACTTTCACACATCCCTTAGCTCTTCTCTTAGATACCTCTGCTCCTTCCCACACTGGCCCAACTGTCTTTTATCTCCTCTGTCAGGCCATTGGTAAAACTTGTATCTCAAAGAAGCCTCCAGACAACTCATTATGTCTATTGGGTGAGGGAGGTGGGACTGTCTTTCTTCCAAATATATACTTATTTTTTCTCTGTCTCCTCTGAAAGAGCTCCCAATAAGTACTGAAAGTTGGCCCGTTCTTCACCAGGCTCATTCCCTGTATTCTCTGCCCATTGTTGGGTAGAGGCCCAGCTAGGCTGGGATTGATGTGTACTCAGTGTAAGGCCTCCTGCTGCCAGATCCCGACTGGGACATTGGGTGCTGCTGGCCTATCCATATTTGCTGCTAACATCAAATCTTTGAGAGACATACCTGTTTGTTCTGTTCTGTCCCTGCCCAAGTTGGGAACCAGGCACTGGCTGCTGAATGTGCTGCTTCCTACTTGCTCTTCTATCCCACGGATGAGCCAATGTTGGAGAAAATGAAACAGTATCGCACAGAACTGGGAGAGGACACAGCTGTCACAGCCAGAGAGGTACTTAGAAACCCAGGTCTGTAATTTTTGACCCTCCCCTGTCCCATATGACAGGATCACAATCCAGGAGACAAAAAGGGAAACGTGTTTCACTGCAGATGTGTGCCAAGTCCAGGACCAAAGAAACTGGAGCCTGAGTTTACTTATAGTCTGTACCAGGCAGGGTCCCTTCAAGACAGAACTGGCCTTTCATATTGCACAGCAGTGTTTGGGGCAGGGTTCTGCCCTGGACAGGGATGCGGTTGTCTTTTGTGGAGTGGTTGTTTGACAGCCTCTTTGCTTCCTTAGAATATTCAACACTATGTGCAGAGATCTTTGATGGAGAAGAATTTGATTTATTACGCAGTGGAGCATCTAGGAGGAACTTTTAATGACCCTGTAAGTAACAGTATCATCTTAATCTTCCTGCCCTGATTTCAGCAAGACAGTTGCCAGAATTCACTTCATAGAGTCATAGAATCATTAAGGTTGGGGAAGACCTTTAAGATCATCAAGTCCAACCATCAGCCTGACACCACCACGCCCACTAAACCATGTCCCAAAGTGCCACATCTATAGTACATGATCCAAAAAGGATCAGATCCTGATGAGAAGGAACCCCAGGTGCTTATGAGGTGGATCTTTCAGGCCTTTCCACTGCTCCAGGACTAAAGTTAGTTGGAAGTTGCTGCTGTAACCATATGCATTAGCCCAGTCTGGCTGTCGTCAGAAGCAGGCCAGAACCATTGGTCTGATACTCACTGGAGAAGCAGGACAAGGAACTGGCTGCTTGACATGATCCAATGTGGGAGAAGTTTGTTCTGTACCAAACCATCTGCATTTGTTCCTACAGGATCTTTGGACTCCAGATGAGCTGATTCCCGAAAACCTAAAGAAGAAACACAGGTAAGGTTGGCCAAGTCAACTAGGACTGAAATATAAGTGTTGGAAGTAGAGGATGGGGTGGACTGGCAGGGGCAGTACAAGGAACAGTCGTACCTACTGAGGAATGGGCAAAATCGGAACAGGAAGGGTATGAAATGCTACTACAGAGGAGGGTTAGGCATAGCTCTGTGTACTGACAGCCCTGGTCTCTGTTTTTTCCCTTGCTCCTGAGAGAGGAACAGGAGAAGCAAAAGCAGGAAACTCTGGATGTGGAAGAGATAGAGAAGAGGGGTGAGTAAAAGAGCTTAAAGAAGGACTTGGATGCAGTCAGCCAGGCTAAGTGCTGTCTTTTCTTCCATCGTTAGACATTTGAATGCTAGCATAGATGCAGACTGACTCGAATGGCTCAGCAAGTCTTCTCACTGTTTCTTTTCTCCCTCTTTGATGCATGCGTAATCTTGCAAAATCCCACCACGTACATCTCTGGGATGGGAACTCAAAGAGCACTGTGGCTGGAGAAGCTGAGAGCAGTGGTGCCTGAATACGTGACAAGCCTGTGGACATGCAGATCCCTGTTCAGTGTGGCAGGAGTGTCTACACCAAACCTGGTTCAACTCCACCAGCCCAACTTCAAACAACGAAGGGGACAAGGAGAGAGGGGAGGAAATGGAAACTGGAAACAGATTATTTGGCTTGGGCAAGTCTTTCCCTGAAAAACACAAGTCCAAATGGTTTGTGAATGCTATAGACTGCAGTGCGGAGTCCTGTGTTCTTGCTGGTCCTCTATTCTTATGCGTGGACACACAGCCTCTTGCAGCTCTCTGTCCTGGAGTCTTTACTTGCAGTCACCTGAAGTGGTTCTCTGCTGTGACACATGGGAGAGCAGATCATTCATTCCTGACCATCCAGAGGTCAGGGGGATGGGGCAGAAAGGGCCAAAGTTCAAAAGATCAAATCACCAGCTAGTACCCGTTGCTTCTCTTTGGGGCTAAAGAAAGTAGAAAGATTTACTGGAGATAATTCTGGGACAAGATGTGTGATTGAAAGGAGAGTTGACGGAGGTGTTTACCTGCTTCTTTTCTCCAGAGCCTCACCCCAATAGGTTGGACCTGCTCTGCTGCTGTGATCCACAGTGCACTCAACTTTCCTCAGCTCCCTGCTGCTCTCCCAGCAAGCCCCAAGTTTCTGCTGGCTCCTGAAGCACTCGCTGTAGGCCAGCTTCCCCAGCTGATGCTCTGGTTCCCCTGAAGCATGTGAGGGGTGCAAGTGGCCCAGGTCTGCGACGAATGGGCACTTCTGGGGAAACTGTCCTGTCTTCTCAGAGGATGTATAGTGTCTCTCCACTTCCTTGTCCAGGCTGGGGGTTGGTGTCTGAGGGATCGTTGTCCAAAGCTTGCTCATGCCTATCTGTACTTGCCTCTCAACAGGTCCTTTGCCGTTTGAGGGTATTGCTGTCACGATGGATTCCCGACGGATGAATGGAACCCAGAGGGTTGTGTTTGACAGAGTGCTGACAGAGTCGGAGTGCAAGGACCTTCTCCGGCTTGCAAAGGTGAGGCCTGGGTCTTGTAGGAGCTCTTGTGTACGTACTTTCCTCCTCAGCAGGCAGGGTTGTAGTGTTTCCATGGAGGAGAGATAGCAGCCTAATGCATGTCATCTGTATCCTTCTGTTCCAGGCAGCAGGAGAAGCAGGAGATGGCTACCGAGCAAGACGGTCGCCTCACACCCCACATGAGAGATTTGAAGGGTTAACTGTTTTGAAGGCCATGCAAGTAAGTGGCTCTGTGAGTCTGCTGCCTTCTTGATCGTCTGTAAAGTGTTTGCCACCCGAGCATTATTTTCTGTGAAGTGCACTCTGGTTGGGGTCATGGGTGTGTTATCTTCCTCGCAAGCATATGTGCAGTCTCTCCTGACCTTCTTTCCTCCACAATCACGTTTAGGCACATTGTCCATGGAGGGCTTGACAAGTGGTTTCTCTCCTGGGAGACAGGGTTTCGGGATTGCTGCTTGTCCCTGTGCATAGTCTTGCAGACATGCTTAGCTTAGAATTGGAGAGTAAATTCAGGTGGAGGGAGCCTCTGGAGATGTCTAGTCTGACACCCTTCTCACAGCATAGCTAATTCCAAAGCTAGATGAGATCCCTCAAGGCTTTGAGCAGGCAAGTCCTGAACATCTCTAAGGGTGGAGATTCCCCAGCCCCTCTGGGCACTGTTTCAGTGCTATACCACTCTTGAGGGGATGAAATTTTCCTTTATATTTAGCCAAAATTTCCCTTGCTGCACCTTTCACCTGCTGCCTCTTTTCTTTTCAGTATGTCCCTCTGAGAAGAGACTGTCTCCATCTTCTCTATAACCCCTTTTTAGGTGACGGGAGACTGTAGTTAGATCCTTCTTTGGCCTTCTCTTCTCTAGGCTGAAGAAACCCAGCTCCTTCAGCTTTCTAAGTCATGTGCTCCAGCACCCCTGCCATCTTAAGACACTTCACCGCTCCAGTTTGCTAGTGTCCCTTGTGTACTGGGGGACCCAAAATGAAACTGCATTCCAGATGTGGCATCATGTGCTGAGGAGAGGGAAAGAATTGCTGTTGCTGTGCAGGTGTACTCCTGACTTATATTTGTGTGAGAAAACATGCTCTTGCCTTATGTGTGTGACCAAATGACTTTACACAGGTCTATTCTTCTGTACTGTGTATGTGTATCATTTCTTACAGTGTCTTTGTGTGTAAGTATTCTAACAGGCTTGTTTTTCACTTGTAGCTGTCCCAGAATGGGGACGTGAACTGGAGAGATGCCAGATTGCTTCTGCAGGCCAGTGAGAAATCACGGAAAATCATAGAGTCCTATTTTACTCCTGGAAAGAAACTCTATTTCTCATTCACACACCTTGTGTGCCGCACAGCTGTAGAGGGTAAAGTATCTTTCACCCTGTTAGTCCCTGTCTCCTGGAGAGTCTCCTCAGTCCCAGACATGTGGTCTCAGGAGGCTGTCTTACCTTCACTCTCAGTGTGCCCCTTTCTCTCTGCCTTATTTTTTCTTGCAACTGAAAATGCCCATATTCTTTTTTGTAACTTCACTTTTCAGAGGAACAGGAAGGTCGCATGGATCTTAGTCATCCTGTCCATGCTGATAATTGTCTCTTGGATCCTGAGGGGCAAGAGTGCTGGAGAGAACCACCTGCCTACGTGTACAGGGACTACAGGTGAGAGAAGGGGACCTGCATTAGATCATGTGGAGATCAGAATGTCTCCTCAGCCTCATCAGAGGATGAGCTTAGCTTATAGAAACCAGGTGATGGGTTGTTGGCTCAAAGCCAGCCAGGACTGTAACAATCAGGCAGAAGGCTGCATCAGTGGCTACAGAACGAGGTATAAAACACCTTCTCTGGGCTGGGAAGAAGTCTTTTCCAACCTAAATGAGTCTATGATTCCAAGATCTGCCCTTTCTCCCCTCTCCCTCCCCACAGCCAACATTAACAGAGACCAGAATGAGGCTGGAAGGCTGCTTGAACATCAGATTGTTTTCTTGTGGGTCTATCACAGTACTGCAGTCCACTTCCAGCACTTGTGACAAGCCATTCCTTTTAACCACATTCCGTCTTTCACAGTCTTACTGCTCCATTGTCCATGCATTACAGGAGAGGGAGAACTAGGCTCCTTGGATTTATTTTGTTTGAGCGGTCAGTGTGTTTTGGTGACTATTCTCTCATTCATCTCTCTCAGCATTCACTTTGTGTGAAAACAATACTTTGTGTTGGGTTTTTCCATTCCGTGTGAGATTTTTTTTTTTTTCTCCAGCCCATGGCAGGATTTGTTAGTCTTCTGCAAAAGAGCCTGAAATATATTTTAAAGACAGTGACAGTTGTTGCACACTGCAGCCAAAAGAGGTCAGTTCACTACAGTTGATTCCTCCTATCCCATCCCTGGGATCTTATTTGCATCCAGAAATCTTATTTGCCTTTTCTTTGAGTGGTAGCTGTACCCAGAGAAGAAATCTTCTCTGAGCAGGCTACAGTAAGGCTGTGGGACGTAGACAGAATTCCAGTATCAAGTCTGTTTATCTTCTGATACAGATGTTGACTTGGTATAGTCAGATTTTAAAGTTACCAGGCTCTGTCATGTAACTGGTTAGATCTCTACAGAGCTCCTGTGGGAAAGCTGTCTTGTCACCTCACTCCTCCCTGGGTAGTGGGCTTCTCTGACTTCTACTTGAATATATATTAAAATACCTTCCTGGGATCTATGCCACTGAACTATTTCCAGGAGTATTCCTGTCCTTTTACAGAGTTAGTTGTGATTGACCAACCAACTCACAAGGGCTGAGCTATTCCACTGTACTTTTGAAAGAGGACTTTGTGCTCCAGACTTCCTAGATGTCTTCTGTGTATTTCCAAATTTCCTAGATGTCTTCTGTGTATTTGTGCTGCAGTCATTAATGAAACTATTGAACAGGATCAGGCCCAGGGGCCCAAGAATCCCAGTGCAAACAGGACTCCTTTCGGTGCCAGTGGTGCACTAGTCACTGTGTGCTGCTCATGCACTCTTCTTCATTGTCTCTGTGTTCATTAGTAATTTCTCTAGTGGCACTGTTCTGAGGACTTTTACCAGAGTCCAAACTGCTGAGATCGAGCGTGTTTTCTTTCCCTGGGAAATCAACTGTTTTGCCAAAGATTGTGTGACTAACTCAATCTGCTTTTAGTACCCCCGTGTTACATTTTAAGACCATTTGCTATTTACCTCTTGTCCTTCAATTATCCTCCCCAGAAACAGAGTCTAAAGTCCTGCAGAATGCTGATGTCAGGCTGACAGGCCTGTTTATGCTTCAACCATTATCCCTTCCCTCCTGCCTCTGTGCATGTGAGAGCTATCCTTGCTTTTCTCCAGTCCTGTTACCAGCCCGAGTTCAGTCTTATTAAAACCCTATGGCAGAAGATCTGTAACTTCCTGGGTTTCAGGGTTGGTAATCCTCTCACTGTCCTTATGTCCTTAATGTTTCGCTTCAGCAGCCACAGTGTTGATTTCTGTTTCTTTCTCCCAGTCCCATTAATGAACTTCTCTTGTTCCTCTGACGTTTTCTGTCAGCTGACTTGAATACCAAGAGGAACTTGAGTAGTTTGTGGTCCATTCTTTCACCTAGTTGACTGTAGTCTCACCTGCACTGCACAGTGGCCTCACTACTTCTCTTTTTGTCTAACATTAGGAAAGAAATTTCTTGTTCTAATTTTATTTTCTGCATGCACTAAGCCTCTTTCACTATTCTTATGTTACCCTGAAATTCCTTGACTCTTAAGACATAGCTTTCTTTGCTGATCAGTCTCCTCTTCCAAGCTTTGGATTATTCACAATCTTAAGACATAAACATCATGCCAGGTCAGAACCAAGGTCCATCTAAGCCAGGGCATTGTCACAACAGTGCCACAGATACATGCTGCAAAGGATTTAAAAAAAACAAACAAACCCCAAAACAAGACAGGACAAACAACGTAGAGCTGACTCCCTGGCATACTCTCCTAGCCTCCAGTGGCTTGCAGCTCAGGGACTCCCCTGACCTAGGTACTACTGTATTTAACACCCCCAAATGTATTCTCCTGTTTACTGGTCTGGGCAGTTTTTGAACCCATGGTATCATTCAGGTGCCACAGCCTCCAGTGACACTGAATATGGGGAAGCACTTGGGAGGAATGAGCTTCACCATCCATATGTCCTCTTTCTTTTTGTCCACAGTGGCATTCTCTACCTCAATGATGACTTCCAAGGTGGGGGTCTTTTCTTCACTGAAATGGACACTGTGACTGTCACAGTAAGTCTGGGAGTAGCCAGATGAAGGAGGGAGGACAGAGGGTGAGACTTAGTCTGGGAGGGAATTAGCTGGTTATTGGATCCCACCACTCCAGAAACAATCCAGTGCTGGTGCTGTGGCAGATTCAAATAGAGGCAGATAAAGGCAAATTGAGGCAAATCTCAGAGGAGAGGTTAACTCCTTAGATGAGATATTCTGGGCTGTTGCAGTCTGTGGGTGCCTTTGATTCTCTCTGTCCCTCTCCCAGGTCTATCTTGCTCATAGACTGACAGCAGATGCCTAGCAGCTCTCCGCTGTTCCGCATTCCCAGAGGCAGTGTGACATCTGTAGAAGGACTGTGTACCCCAGAGCCAGGGGCTGCTGGCTTCATTGTCTCTTCTCTCTCTCCTGGCAGGCTGAGGTGCGTCCTAAGTGTGGGAGGCTAGTAGCCTTCAGCTCTGGCAAGGAGAACCCCCACGGTGTGTGGGCAGTGAGGCGCGGAAGGCGCTGCGCCATTGCTCTCTGGTACACACACTCCCAGGAGCATGCTGAGCAGGTAAAGGACCATGCTGGAGAAACGAATATGAGTACTTCCAAGCTGGATCAAATCCCCACGAAAAATGGCTTGTGGGCTTTCCCATGGGGCAGGGCCTAGTGCAGCAGCTGGGGGTTGTCCTCTGACAAGGCATCTGGTGGAAGGGCCAGCCTGTGATGGGTCCTGCAAGAGAGAATGGGCTCTGGGGGGGTTGGATGGATGTGGCAAAGACGAGATGTGTCTTGTCAGCCCCTGTGAGCAGGGCCGAGACCCTAGCAGGGAGGAGTTCACATCATCTCTCTCTTCATGGCTGCAGGAGCGGGTGAAGGCAGAGGAGCTGATGGAGCAGAGGGCTGTGGAGCAGGACCGACCCAATGGAGAAGAACATCAGGGAGCTGAGCACAGCAGCAGATCCTCCTCAGAGCCTCCTGTTCCCAACAGTGGAGCCAGGCCCATGAGCCGGAGACATAAGCCTGGCTCAGACAGGACGCAGCACCCCAAGGAGCTGCGGGCCAGAGATGAGTTCTGAGTACGTGGGGCCTCAGGGGCAGGACTGGCACACACCATGGCCTGGCAGGTCATGGTAGCACCGGGACCACAGGGGCCTGGAGCAGTGTATTAGCATGCTAGAGCCGTAGTGATGGGGAGGGATGCAGCTTTCTTCTCTGTGACATCCCAGCAGCTGAAAAATGGGAGTAGGAACAGTGTATTAAAATCAGTGACACCAGGAACTTTCTTCACTGCCTCACCAATGTGTTTGTGTCACTCAGAAGTAAGAAGGCAGGTTCCCTTCACCCTGCTCCTCTCAGTACCATCTTCTTGGTCATCCAGGGCCAAAGCTGAGGAGAGGAGGAGCTTGGGGTCTTTCAGGAGCAAGGGCTGTCTCACATTCAAGAACTCAAAACAGAAGCCTCTGAATTTCCTAGGCACCTGCAAACTTCAGAACCTTGCAACTGGTCTGAGAGAGGGAAGGTGAGGGACTGTGAATATATGGAATAAAAGCAAAATGCTGGACATGGATGTTGGTGGGAGATTGAGTCTGTACACCAGGAGGGAGACATGCACGCTTGTTGCTGATGGAAATTTAATTAACAAATGATGGAAGGAAATTGAGCCCTCAGTGAAAGAAAACAAAGTATTTGCCCAGATGCCAGCTACTTCCAATAGGGGAGAGCAAGAGAGAAAGTCAGCTCTGCCATGACTAACCCCTGGAAAGGGTGGGGAGTGCTTTTAGGAAATAGCACTGTGCGCTCATGCAGCAAGGCCTCTCTTCTGTTTGTTTGTGGGTTTTTTACCTGTCCATGCATCAAATTGCCCCTGAAAGCAGAAGAGATATTTTGTTTATTATTTACCACCCTGATACAAAGACAATCTGCTGTCACTGCCCAGGGGATTAGTGTCCCGAGATGGGATTATATTGCAGCCAAACAGGAATTGAATGGGGTGGATATGGAGTATCAAAAAGAGCAGTGACCATTTTCCTGGGAAGCATTAGAGCCAGAGATCAGTCTGTGGTCATGACAAACACAGGCCTTGATGAGAGTTGTGCACGGAGACCCGGGCTACAGTTCAGGTGGAAGAAATCTGTAGGGCCAGGGCTGGTGGTATAAGAGGTGGGTGGGTGATCCCATCGTCGCTGTTGGCACAGGGCCCTTGCTCCATGGAAAGGGAAGTCTTTCCTCAATCTGAATCCCGGTTCTTCCTTGACACAGAAGCTTGGGAAACCTGCATTGGCAATCCTTTTTGCCTCCCATCCTCCCCAGAGCCACAGGAAAAAGGCAATTTGATGTGTGCATTTCAAATTCCCTCACATCCTAGCAATCGCATGTCTGTCCTGATGATTTAGTGGGGGCATTGGATGGTTCCTACTTGACGAGGACATGTTGGGGGGTGAGGGGCCAGTGTCCACATCACTAGCTTGCTTTGCCCAAAGGGGGCTTGGGTGATTAGACTGATGGCCTCCTGACGTCAGATGAGATCCGTTAAAAGGTATTTATCTCGGGCTTGGGCCAAAGCCGCGGGAGAGATTAAAAGAGATTGAGGCCAAGATAATCCCCTCGCAGCATCCCACTAAAGTGGCTGCCAAAAGGCACGCCACCAAATCTTTTGCCACCCCTGGCCCCTGTGCCTGGTTCTGTTTTCCTCATGCAGTTTGCCGCCCAGAGAGGGTGTGACCTCAGCCCTGACGTGGGTTTTCTCTTGGCAGGGCCACTGTGGGTGGCACCATCCCTCTTCCCACCCTGTCCAGGACACAAGTAGTATGCTGTCCCTGGGAAAATGGGGATTCCTGTGGTCCGTGAGGTGCAGCAAGCCCTGCCCTAGTGGCTGATAATCCTAGCCTGTTCTGGCTAATCTTCACTTTATTAGTTTGTTGCTGATATAAACAGAGGGAGTCAAATCCGCCTGTGATGGTTTCTTTCCCTTCAGGAGCAGTGCGCTACTCTCTCTTTTCACCCCTCCCCATCCACCTGCTTTGCATTACGTCCCAATCCGATTTCCCCAAGTCTCTGGTGTCTGATTTAATTTGCCTGACGCTGCTCCTGGAATCAGCCCTCCCCCAACCCCTCCCGTCCACAGCCTTCCAGCTCCCCATGGGGAGATCAGTCCTGGGAGAGGCTGAGGAGCAGAGAGGGAGCAAGGGACTCGCTGGGTGGACGGGCAGGACTGACTGGAGACCGCACAGGGACAAGGGGCTTCTGGACAGCGGGGAGCCATTCTCGGCGAGGGAGACAGGCCGTGAGGGTCTGCAACCCACCTCGCTCTACAGATCCCGGTAAGGATGCTGCCTTGTTGTGATGCCTGAGGTCACCTTGGTGAGTCTGGAACTTGGGGCTCTGGGTTTCTTGGTGCGGTGCTGTGTGTGGAGTTTTTGTACATGGGCTGATCCCATCTGAGGATGTGGTAGAGAAAATCAGGGTGGGGAAGGAGTTGGGGTTAGTGCTGAGATGTCTTTATGATGAAGGGCTTTGCACTGGGATGGGGTTGCTTGTTGTCCCCTGGGCAGGTAGATCTCACCAGTTTCCAGACTGGAACGGGAGGGTAACGCCTCCCTGGAGGGACCAGGCACTGGCTAACCATACACAGTCCTCCACTCCCGGTCTGCCCCTGTGCACACCTCTTTGCAGCTGGCTGCTTTTCTGGATGGAGAAAGAGCCCTCAGAAAGCAAGGAGCAGAGCAGGGTAATTTTATCCTGGCCTTTGATCTCCATCACAGCAGAGGGAGATCATCTCTGTATCCGGCTCTGCAAGGAGCCCAGGGTCACCAGGGCAAGCATGCAAGGCCAACCACGGATTACACAGAGACCCAGGGATGCTGCCTATTAATACTCTGTCCTCCCTCCTGCACCTTTCCCTTTTCTATTTACAGCCCTCTCCCAGCATCCCACAGAGGGATCACTCCCTTCCCCGTGTGGGGGAAGCTACCCAGAGGCTAAAAAATAAAGGGGTTCGCCTGTCCTTTCTTCCCAACCATCACTTGTGCCCCCATCCCCACCAGGGAGTGATGCAAGTGGCTCGGCAGGACTGTCCCCTGGGGTGCAGGCTGGGCCCCTGCCCTGGCATGGTGTGGGGGATATAGCCACTGCCCTGAAAAGGCATCTCGCAGCAGCAAAAGGCAGAAGGTGGACAATTCCAGATCCTTCTCAGCTTCACGCCATGGTAGAGGCATTCAGCCTGCTACCAGCGGACACCCAAGAGCTCAGCATGGATCAGGTTGCTCACAGACAGCAGGTGCCTCCAGCAAGTTTGTTGGAAAAGGCAAGAGGGGAAAGAACTGTCATGTTGGAGAACAGAAGAAATGAAATATAGTTTCAAAAGACAAGAACTGTGAACTGGATGAAGACAACCAAGGCAGAGCTCAGAATAGAGCAGGTGTAAACCAACTAAGCCCACCCTCTATTTGGCTGTGCCATGTGCCTCAGCAATGCTTGCAGGAGGCACAAGTCTGGGGACCAGTGCTGGTGGCAAGGTCCTCCTATCATTAGCTCTTTGCAATGCTGGGGTGGTGGTGGTGAATTGGTTTTTCAAAGGTTCCTAAGGACCTGGTTTCCTCTACTGCTTAGCATCCATCTGAAGGAGCCCTTACTTCTAGAAAGCACTGAGGGTGCACCCTTTAGAAGCTTTTACCATTAAACCCAGGCTTGGCAGCTACCATGAGCAACCATGAGCTGATCCATAGATCTACAACAAATGTGCATCCCTCGGGTCCCACTGGCCACTGAAGGAACATGCCTTGGCCAGACCCCAAGCTCCATTCCCCTTTCCTGCATTCTTCCTCCATTCAGTTCCCCCATCTCCTGTCCTGAATTTACATGACCATGATAAGCTGCTTTTTTGCACACCTGCCGTGGTCCTCCCGGGAGGTAGCTGCACTCTGCTGGGGACCAGGTAACTCACGCTCCACAAATTGCACTGGGATGTGATGGGCGGAGGCGACAGGCAAAGCTGGAGCTATTATTATCACTCATCTGTGGCTCCTTGTCCTTCTGAGGCTGAGAACAATTCCCAAATTCATTTAGAGTGTTCCTTCAAAGGGATTTAAAGGTTTGGACAGAGTCCTGAACCTGAGCTGCACCTTCTCTATATTTAGCCCTTTTTATCCGTCCTCGACATTGTGCCCCTGCCCTTTGATCTGCCTACTGGCTCCGAAAGCCCCTCATCTGGTTGTGCAACCTTCCAGAGCAGGTGCCTGTGAACTGGGATCCCAGGCTGGTGCCGCAGTTGAGAAAGAAATTGCCAGGGAAGGGAAGAGAATGGTAAAAAAGCAGGAGAGATGCAAAAGAGACTGGGGATCCGACGGGTGATGAGGAGGATATGCGCAGCCACCTTCACCTGGGGCAGAAATTGGAAGGAAGAGAGAACAAGGTACCCATCTCCATGCAGGTCTGGGTGAGCAAAAACAGAAGTCGACACAGACAGATTAGGACAGGTGGATGGACAATGATCTCGGCCACAGGTGTGTGAAATAACAGCCTGGAGAGCTTGAGGACCAAGCAGAGGAGACTGGAAGGAGAGAGTCAGAGGGAAGAGGGGGCCCAGCAGCAAAAGGCAATCCAGTGCTTAGGGCTGATGGAGGGGAGGTAGGAGCAGTCCTGGGGAAAACTGAGAAAGGGGAAGGTGTGGACCGCAGTGACAAGGCTGGTCTCAGCAGGGTGGCTGGAAGTTCAGGTTTGCCACTTGGTGTGCTGGGAGGCAGTGACAGAGCTGGACGCAGACTCTGCAGCTTGACTGAAGTTGAGGGGCAAACGCCACAAGATAAGAAGGATTTGCAGCCTCCTACTGAAAAGTGCAGAGCCTTCCCCAGCACCTCCCCAGCCTGTCAGTTAGCTGAGAGATTGAGTGGGGTGCCCAGCCCCTCCCCAAAGGATAAGTGCATGCAGGTGGGCTTTCATGGCCAGCATCACTCAACCAGGTACAGCTATGCATCCTTGCTGGGAGGAACTCTCTCATCACTGTTCTGTCAAAATGAGAGAAGAAAAAAAACAGTGGAGAGGGCCCAGCTTGCGTGCTGGTCTGCCCCATCCTTCAGCGCAGCTGAGGCTGGCAGCCCCAGGCCACTGCTGTGGCATCTGCCCCCAGGCTCTGCCAGTGCAGCCCCCGGCTCCTCTCCCGCTCCCTCAGCCGGCGCGGGGGCCAGCGGACTGGGCCAGCAGCCACGCCCAGGGCGCCGGCAGGCAGCAGGGGAGGGGCAGCAAGCCCAGTGGCTCCATTCAGGCTTGCAGGCAGCAGGTGCAAGCCTTTCTCTGC